GGGCACCCCAAAGGTCATTCTCAGATATTTTAGGGAGATTTTCTTTTCTCTAGAGGAGAAATTCCTACCTCTTACCTTGGGAAGCAAATATAAACCTTAAGTTTCTTGAGAAATATACACAGGAGACAGAATTTTTAAGGTACTGCATATTAGAAAAATATCTGTATTTTACCCTTTACTTGGTACATAGTTTGACTAGATATAGAATTGTAGATTGGAATTTTTTTCTCAGAATTTTTTTTAAAGCATTGGTCTATTTTCTTATAATTTCCAGTGTTGCTAGTAAGAACTCTGATGTGAGATTTTCCCCCAACGTTTTTACAAACACAGTATTTTTTTTCTTCTTTATGGATGCTTTTACATTTTCACATTTGGCCCCAGTCTTCTGAAATATTACCATCTCTGCCTTAGTTTGGATACTTTTACATTTACTTTAGAAACTCATTAGGCCCTTTGAATTTGGAAATTTATGTATTTCTGTTCTGGGGAGCATTTCATGTGTTAGTTCTTTAATGATTTTTGCCCTTCTATTTTTTGTCTTTTCTTTCTGGAATTTATATTAGTTAAATATCAGAATTCTGGGATTGATTCTCCGATTTCAAATCATTTTTGCTCTTCTCTTCAATAGTGTGTCCATCATTCTGGGAAACTTTCTCAATTTTACCTTCCATCTCTCCCATTGATTTTTTTTTTTTTCCTAGAGATAGGATTTCACCATGTTGCCCAGGCTGGTCTCAAACTCCTGAGCTCAAAGTGATCTGCCCACCTCAGCCCCTCAAAGTGCTAGGATTACGGGGATGAGCCACTGTGCCTGGCCTCTCTTATTGATTAAAAAATTATATTCATATACTTCATTTTCTTTTTAAATTTTATTTTTAAATTGACAAATAATAATTTTACATATTCATGAGGTACATAGTGACGTTTCACTACATATAATGTATAGTGATCAGATAAGGATAATTAGCATATCCATCACCTCAAACAGTTATTATTTCTTTGTATTGGGAACAGTGTCCTCTTTCTAGCTATTTGAAATATATAATATCCTACAGTGGTATAGAGCACTAGAACTTATTCCTCCTATTAGCTATAGTTTTATGTCCTTTAGCAAATATCTCCGTATTCCTTTCTTCCCCTCACCCTTCCCAGCCTCAAGTATCCTCTGTTCTACTTCTTACTTCTATGACATCAACTTTTTTCGCTTTCACATGAGTGAGAATATGCTTATATACTGTTAATTTTTTATTTCCTGTTGGCTTCTCTTTTTAATATTGTCCTGTTCTTTATTAGTGTGACATATGTTCTTGTCTCCTTGAGGATATTAATCAAATATTTTGAAAATTTCCTCTGCATCCTGCATTTTCTGTTTCCTTCTTGTTCCTTTTTTTTTTTTTCCAGTTAGTTTGTTTTGATCTTTGTTTTTCATGTTGAAAGCTTTTCTCTAATATTTGACGTATTTGGCTGTCCACTAATACTTAGCAGTGAGTCACTAGAAAGCCAATTAGAACTTTATGGACAGGGCTTGGAGGGCTCCCAAAGAACAGTTCCATGGAGCATTGGAGGGTTCCAAGGAGCAGGAATCTGACAGTCTCGATGGGGCACCCCAAAGGTCATTCTCAGATATTTTAGGGAGATTTTCTTTTCTCTAGAGGAGAAATTCCTACCTCTTACCTTGGGAAGCAAATATAAACTTGGTTGCTAGCTAGCATTCTGTGAGGTGAGTGAAGAGACTGGAGTTCTCAGTGCACACACTGATTTTTCACTTAGCCCTAGGTTTCTGTATGGCTCCACCTGCCACCTCACATTGTGCTTACCCTGAGTACAGAGCCAGAGGATAAGCTTTTTCCTGCTTCTGTTGAAACATGGAAGTCCTCTGCCTGTGCAGGCAGGAGGAAGGATCTTGAATCTAAGAGTTAATCTGATAGGCTTTCAACCAATACTCCAGATTTCAGCCTCTATCCTCACCTTGCCTTTCAAATCACCTGGTGCCTCCAATTCTGGAAACTTGCATGGGTTCTTCGGTGTGAATGGCTTCCTTCTTTGTCTATGGCATCCTTCTCTGCAGACTCTTAGGTTTAAGCTTTCCCGGTTCTAAGTCAGTCTTCCATCTTCTAAAGATGTGTTGACACTTATCTTCTTCTTTGTCTCCTCTTCTTTTATCTTAGTCACTGTGAGTCTATATTATTACTATTCTTTTCCTATCATTATTCTGGAATTTTAGCAGGGAGTGGCAACATATGTATATGTTTCATCTCCATTTAACAATAGATGACTTCCATTTCATATTTTCTTCATATTCTCCTTATTTTCCTCCATCATTATCATCATCATTTTGGGTGTGGCACATAGGAATTCCTATGAGTCTTTGGTTCTAACTCAGCAAATGAGGGTCCCCCCCCCAACTTTTTTTTTGAGACAGAGTCTCACTCTGTTGCCCAAACTGGAGTGCAATGGTGCAATCTCGGTTCACTATAACCTCCGCCTCCCAGGCTCAAGTGATTATCATGCCTCAGCCTCCCAAGTAGCTGGAATTACTGGCATGTGCCACCGTGACTGGCCAATTTTTGTATTTTTAGTAGAGACGGGGGTTTCGCCATGTTGTCCAGGCTGGTCTTGAACTCCTGGCCTCAAGTGATCCACCT